CTGAGGCCTGGCGTCGAATCCTGGGTACTGTTCGTCTCGCCAACTGAACAGACTGCCCTGCCAAGAAAATGTCTGTTAGAACTCTTTCCTCCTTAAACGCGCAAAGCCGCCGCGCCGGGGACTTTGATAATTTTTCAATGCGCGCGTTTCCGTTTCTCTTCGCTCGGGAAACGTGGATTTCCCACGGAGAAACTCTAATCTTTCATCGCTCTCTATTAGACAACGTGAAATCTTTGCACGCTTCGTACGATTGGATAAAATATATTCGAATCATGGGTGTCCAATCTTTTCAAAAAGTTTGCTGGTCGAAGGTAGCTCACACATTTCTTTTGTCAGTTCGATGTAACTTGTATTACTCGCGTGGACGTTGAAACAATATATTGATTTGTAGTGAAACGATATATTGATTGGAAAAGATATGGAAATTCTTAATGAGATTCTAATTGAGCTTGTTTCTTCTTTTTATAACTATGTATAGAAGAGTATTTTCAAGAAAAAAGGGGGAAAGATCGTTTCGTAAAAAGGGGAAAAGATCCGCTCGCAAACATAAGTACTGTGAACATTCATTAGGTTAGAATTATTCAAACGATAAAATTCTTATTCAATTGTTCCAATTTTGTTTATACAACGCGGGTCAGCGGGGCTTGGACACGCCTGATCCAAATATTTGGAAATATTCAAATATTATTTTGCTGATCTCGCGATCTCTTTGCGTATGATTACGGAACAAGGAGGATAAGTAAATTCAATTATCTCCGATCCGAATGCACACGTACGTGCATGCATGCATGCATGTACATACGTGAATTCGTCGCGCACGCAGCCTGAATTCCATTAGACGGAAGTCTCTGCGACGTATTTCCCTCGGATATGGATACCCATCTGCTTTCCCTTATCCGAGCCGCATGGTTGCACCCTCTCCGTCCCCTCTCTCGCGGCAGAGAGAAATACGTTGCATCGGAGAGAGGGGAAGATTTGTTCGAGGACAAGCCGACTCTCGAGGCTGTTATTTACGAGCAAGAGGAGGCCGCCGCGCCGAGGGACGCGTAAAGTAGGCAAGGATTGAAAAGCACAGGCCGTGAATCGGGTCGACGGCTATTGTCGTCTGATACTTTGGTCTCGAACTGTTAGTTACGGGCAACGATATCGGCCATCGTCGTGTCGTACGTTTTCGCATTCACGATCACCGCGCGAATGTACACGTACTACACATACACGTACACGTGCATGCATGTATATACAGCAGCGCGAGAGGCTCGGTTCCTCGCCGGTCGCGAAACTCCCCGGAGTATAAATTCCAGCTTTGTGGCATGGCTCATGGAATTATTCCGTCTTAATGGCGGGCTTTTGCCGGCGGAAAGTATGTAGGTCGTGTTGTGGATGGACTGGCTTTAAAGTCACTGTGTAAAATTGATGCTCGATAGCGGTCTATTCAGCTACCCGGCAAAGGGGAACTTGTTATTTCGTTGCTCTTATCCTATCCTATCCGTCCCTCCCCACCCCCCTTCGTTCGATATGTCCATCCGGTTTTTATCCGTTGTTCCAGCCGTTGTTTCAACCGGCGAGATAATCTCGTTCGTTTTTGCCGGACGTTTGCTCGTGAATCGTGAACCGAGAGAAGTTTATTAATACCGGCAGGAGATATCCAGAATTTCGTTCTATTAAATTTCGAAACGTTCTCTCGAAGGCTCTATTAAATCACGAATTTTTCTATTGAAAGCAATTTCAAAACCCTTAGCCTCTGCGGTCCGCGCGCTGAATCATTCTTCATCACTTTGCCATCAACTTAGTCCGCGCTAACGGACTTTAATTTCATCGATTCACAGAAAAATGGTGTGCTCAATAGTTTTCGAGATATTTCGCGGAAAATACGTTTCGCACTAGCCAACTTTGAGGGTAGTTTTCACTCCTTTCACGTCGATGAAAATTTGCTGATGAAAAAGAGATACGAGTCAAGTATTAAAATGATTCACGCTTCGGTATGTTCCTGAGCCAGTGCTAATAGTTCTTCTGCGAACGCTTATTCATAGATCAAATTCCAGTAGTTGATCATCTACATTCCCCCCTTCCTTCGACTATGCCAAAAAGCATAAATATAAAAAAGATGCGCTGGAAAGAGGAAGCAGCATTTTCTCCCCCATCGAGCAGATCAGAGATATCGTAATCTTTGACCAGGGTTGCAACGTAGAATAAAAACCTTCTGAAAACTACGAGCACGCTCGACACAAACAGTTGAGAGATTTGTTTCCCAGCTCAAGCGCGATACTTTCGAAAATTTCGGGAAAATTATTTCGAAAGCTGCGGAATTTGAAAAAGTTCGACACGTCCCCCGGCCAGTTCAGTTTTTTAGAAGAAGCTTCGCCGGAACGAGGATTTGAAATGCTTATCTGTCGACGCGTCGGCATTTTGTGGCAGAATCCCCGACAGAATCGAAGAGCAGCTTTATTTACAGAGTAGTACGATGCGGAGGATCGCGGGTCGCGTGCAAAGCTCGCTGAACAGGATCGACATCCTCGAGCCGGTTCCCCTTTAACGTTTTATTCCTCTTTCGTCGCGATTTTCGGATTTCGCGCGCGAACAGAGAGAAAATAATAAGAAAGTTGCGAGCTGGCTATAAAACGCTGGAGATTGAATCGTAGACAGCGAATGCCCGTGAATTTCGTTGAAGTGTAGCGAGTGAAAAGAGAACCGGCACGGAACTCGTCCACCCGCTCGGCATCGTGAGAAATTCTCTGCTTCTCGTAAATGGAATCGGTTATCGGACGCACGGGAGTCCGTGGACTCTTTGAGGTGTCTTTTGGCCTGTACGCTGCTTAGCGAAAAAAAAAATTTTCGTTCCACGGTCCTGTTTCGAGCGTAACTTGTACCACACTTGACAATGAAAAATCGTGGATGATTTAAAGTGGTGTAACTTTGCAAAGAAAGATGTACTTGGTCTGGTTTCAAAGTGCGAAGCTTCCACGTCGATAGTCGTGAGTTGCTTTCAAAGCGTGCTTCTCGAAAATTGTCAAGGTTCAAACGTAATGTGTGTAAAAATATTGAAAGCTTACAAGAACCATCATTTTGTTGAATTAAATGACTCGTTAAATACTTGTACAATTTTCTCCTTACTTCTTAATGTCTCAAGTTTAACAAAATGGCGAGAAAAGAAATCGTACAGCGAGTTTTAAGAGATCGTTGGGAAGAAAAAGTTTCAGCTTCTCAGACCATGGTAAACCTCGTAAAAAAAAATTTTTTAATGTAAAATCATCTTCAAAAAAAAAAAAAAAAATTGACGACTGTCAAAGAAAGAAGCTTTCAAACAGATCTTTTTACGAAGTTGAAATTATTAATTCTTCATCGTCACTAATACAATGTGTTATAATTGCTCTTCACTGTATTTACATTTTTATGACAACAACTAAATCGTCAGATCATAGTGCCGAATTATCCGTCGAACGTCATAACGATTGACTTGTAACCCAAAGAAAAAAAAAAAAGAAAGAAAATCGAGGGATTTTCAAATGATCAAAGAATTATCATAGAATTTAATCGAGAAGTCTGAAGAATATTACGAAGCTGTTCGATCGTAATTCCATCGATTACATAAAATGATACTCTGCCCCCCCCCCCCGTCTATATCGTGAAACCAACAAATGTTGCAATATTTCCTCCCGAAGAAGGTTGAATGTGCTGTGTATCGAGGCTCGATACGATCGTCCCGTTCGATCGTTCAGAGTCAAAGTTACTTCGCGTCCTTTCGAAACAAAGTTCCTTTAACCGTCCATTCCTTGGAACGTAAGACTGTTCTAAGCGTGTTCTGGCAGCGAAACCGCCGAGACGGAGAGAATTTTCTGCGCGGCGAGGTTTCAGATTGCGTCGAGCTCTTTCAGCGTCGAGCTGATCGGCCATGGAATAGGTTTTCCTCGCACGACTGTTCGCCGTTTGTACTAAAGCCGAGCCGAACGATCCGGTAAAAAGTGCTGGTAGTGCGGCGAAGAAAGAGCGAGATGTTTCGAGCTGGCCGATTAATTGAAATGGAAAAAGGGTCTTTCGCTTGAGAAATGTTTTGCAGGGAATCGTTTGCCGCGATTTCTGGAACCGATAGCCGACGATTTTGGCACGTATTCTCCCTATTCACCGGCCGAAAACGATCCCACATGTCTTCCCATTTTGCTTCACTGACGCGAGTCAATTGATACGAAATAACTGGCCCTTGCCGTTTTCGAAAAAATTTTTCCGATCGAAACGATCGATCGGGAATTTCTATTATTCAATCGGTGTCGAGAATTTCCTTTTCAAAGACTCTTACAGCGTAAATCTAAATATCTCCATTGTTTTTAGTTGTATTCGTACGGTATAAATACGTTTTGTATTTTCTATTTATTCTCGCACTTGGAATCATCTGGTTCATTATTACAGAGTATCTCGTTGCCGTATACTATCCATTTTAGAAGTCTCTGCGCGCGGGTATATAGAGACCTAAATTAAATCACTCGGTCAACACAATGGCACAACATTTCGATATGAAATTGCATGTATTGTAATTCAATTGTTAATTAAATTGCTCGCAGGTCCTGGCCTCGCGAACGGATTATTGATTTATCGCGACACGCGCTGCGCCGAGCATATATTTTGATAGATAATTAATGGATAGATAATACTGGCATTATAGAAAACGATACCGGCAAAAGGGGCGGGGAGGCGGAGGGGAGAGGGGATGATTAAAAATCCACCACATTAGGCATTTTGGTAGCCTATGCGGGGAACATTGAATTATTTCAATAAATTTGAAATCCAATTTAGCTTGTTCATTAAGCTTAACACATCGAATGTCGTGATTCGGAATCGATAATTCAATTCCGGCCAGATCCTGCCTGTTAATTCGCGCAGCGAATATTATTCCGCCCGGCGAAAAATCGCTTCTCTTCTCTTTTCCTTTTCTCCCCTCCTCCCCCCCCTCCCTCGTCGCCCTCCTTTTTTTCGTCGGATGTTTCGAAAGTGGTATGGAATGTACTCACCAGGAAGTATCGCAAGCATGCGTCAAGGTAAGGTATCTCGCGCCCAGGCCGTAAAATGTCCTGAGAACACCCAAGGAATTCCCTAGGGAGTGACCACCTTCCACCCCGATGAGACTTGCGATTTTCCCTTCTCGATGCGCCTCGATAAGACCTACGCACACGGGAAAGAAAACATCACTGCGTTTCTTATTTGATTTGCCTTTCATTTATATTTGATTGCCTTTCATTCATTATTATTTATTCGATATTATCGAGTAAATTTTTTTTTAACAATCGACGGTCTCGCGATCGTCTTAGGTTTTAGTTTCCTTTGGAAATTAATTCGGGGTTTTCTAGCCACTGGTATACACACAAGTACATCTAGTTATTGTTGGCACGTATTAATTATGGAGGAAATTCATTTTATGAAAATTGGAGAAACTCTTTTTTCACGCTTTTTTCATGCATACTTAAGCGCAT